TCCAGAAAGCAATGGATAGAACACTGAACCACTCAAAAAATACCTTTTGTTTTCTGGATGATATTCTAATTGTTTCAAAGGGGGAAGCTAAGGATCATGAGAAATTGGTTCGCAATGTGTCGCAAAAGTTGGACAACGAAAATTTCGCATTAAAAATTACGAAATGTGAATTTTTTTTCAGTCCTCAGTGAACTGGTTAGGCCATAATTTATCGGTACACGGTATAATACCAAAAATTACAAAAACTGAGGCTATTGCAAATCTCCAACCCCCCAAGTCACTGAAACAACTCAGATCGTTCATGGGTAGCATCAATCACTAATCTAAATTCATCCCAAATGCGGCTAGTTTAACTGAAAAACTTCGACCACTACTGAAAGAAGAAAATGAAAAGAAGAAAATGAAAAATGTTCGTTTACCAGTGAAAAAATTGGAGCGGGACGATCAAAACTCAGTAACTTTTGAGGATATCAAAAAAGCAGTAGCTAACATCGCTTTATTAAATAATTACGATCCGTCAAAACAAACCAGAGTTAAGTGCGATGCAAGTCACAGCGGCCTCGGGGCTACTCTTGACCAATGCTCTAACCAAAACGAATGGGTACCGATAGCATTTGCATCCCGGTACTTGAATTCCCAAGAAAAAAAAATTCACAATGAACTCGAACTGCTAGCAGTAGTTTGGGCGGTAGATCGCTTCAAACATTATTTACTGGGGAAAGAATTTGTCATAGCAACTGACCACAAGTCGTTAACGTCTGCTTTGGCGGAACATAGATCGAATAAAACGTATCAATCTCGACTAACCAGGTGGGTTGATCGATTATTACCGTATCAATTTAAAATTACTCATATTCCGGGAACGGATATGGGTATCGTTGATTATCTGTCAAGAGAGCCCAATGGGGAACCATGGCCGGAAACAGAACTTGACGAGAGATTTGTAGTGACGTCTATTGAAAGTTTCCATAAAGCACTCGACTGTTTGAACAGTCGGTTTAGTGAAACAAATCCAAATAGTGCTATTAACATTCTAGAACATTCTAGAACACAAAGAGAAACTAGCTACTGTAAAGACAGCTCATCACGCGGTTGCTATGACAAACAATTTGTTCAAAACTGGACAAAGCTCGACCGGAACGAAAACGGTCAAAGTTTACGTTTTCAAAAAGATCAGAAACAGAAAAACACTTTGGACAAAATAGCTCGCGAGAAACAGTCGGTCAATATCTCACAATTTAACAAAAATTCAGTCAGAAAAAAACAATACTAAAATTTCACAACGATCAGCGGAGATGGAGCAAAACAAACCAGGAAAGTCAAGGAAAATGATAATCAGACAGAATGGAGATCGGAGAGAGGACGAACTGACAGAACAAGTGACGGAAACCACCTTTTGCCGAACACGTATGGTGAAGAGAGGAACTGCGTGCAGTAGACAAGACGACTCAGACAACTCCGATTCAGATGTGCCCCAGGTTGAGTGGAGGACAGTAAAGAAATCATTCAGGCCTAAAGGATAGAAAGAAATAACATCTGGAAATGCAGCAGGAAATGTCGAGACAACTCTAATGTCATTTTGGGACCTCATGGGGCAGAAAAATCAGATAACCCGAAAAGCTTACTGGAACTAGAAGCACGGACAGTTCTTGATGACAGAAACAAATGTGATCAGACATTGGAAAAAAATACTCAAAGAGAGAATCCCCCAATCATAGAAGTAGACCTCACAGCTGAAAGCCCCTCAGAAAGTCCAGAAGTCAGCATAATCAAAAAAGAGAAGACAGGTCACAACTCCAGAAGAATCAGCTCGCATCAAAAAGAAACGAGTACAGAAATCAGCCTTGACAATCTCATCAAGTTGTTCGATAGAAGTTTATTAGCAGAATTGATATCAGAGGACGCTTGGATGGACAGACTTCGGCGGGTGATTGAGAGGAATGATCGTCATAGTTTCGAGTTGATGGGCCCGTATACCAATCCCCTCTGGCATCAACTCTCTGTAGTGGACGATTGTATACTGGTGGACAACAGGCTAGCTGTCCCCGAACAATTGCGCTTAGCAGTGCTGAAGAGGATTCATGGCGGTCACCCAGGTCAGGAAGCGATGCTCGATGTTTCGAAATACCTGTGGTGGCCGCACATGCACAAGGATATTGTCAATCTGGCGGAAGAATGCAGAAGCTGCACTCGCTATGGTAAGAATGCAAAATACATCATCCCAAAAATGCTACTAAGCCTCTTCCACTGCTAACGCAGTCGGGTCAAGAAGTTCAGTTAGACTACGCCGGTCCACTCGAAGACTACAAAGGAAAAAATATATAATTGCTGTTAGCAATAGATAGGTATTCTAAATTTCCATCGGTAAAAATCACTAAATCAACAGGGGGAAAATCGTCGAAAAAATTTCTTCGCTCATACATTGATATCCATGGGATACCAGAATCAATTCGAACTGATCAATTTTTCGGTTTCAAAGGTAAAACGATGAAAAAATATTGTTCTGACAATAACATTGAACAAAAATTTTGTCCAGTTGGAGATCATCGCGGATGCGGATTAGTGGAACGCACTATACAAACCATCAAAAGAAGACTGGGTGTAATGCTACTCGATGAAAACGTAACATCAATAAAATTATGTCTTAGTACAATACTTCGTGATCTTCGTTGGAGTAAACAGAAGACAATAAAATGTTGCCATTTGAGGCTCATTTTGGGAGATTGCCTAAAACAGAATTTAAAATTCTCAGTGATAGGTTTTTACGAAATTCTGATCGTTTAGATAAGGAACACCTGGAACGTTCGGCGCTGACTGCCTCCCAACTCAAAAAGCGCATTGACCAGTCTCGGGAAAGTCTGAAGATTGTCCGAAAAGGACAAAACAGCAGAGACGTGAGTCCACTATTTAAACAACAAGTCGACTCGGCTCAGGATCGGGCAAGAGCGCGGGCACTAAAAGAACTCCTAGAAGCCAATGCCAGATGGAACCAAACACGACGCGATACATCTGCAAATGATTTAAGACGCACGGTAGACGAGACGAGTACTATCAACCCCGAGTTACGCAAAGAAATGCTGTACTCGTGGGAACGTGGTTTTATTGAGGATAAACCAGATTTGTCCACTAACCAATGCCATTCGTCACCAATCTTGATCAGAAAAGATGAGGGCAGGAAAAGCGGTAAGGCGCTTACGAAGCCATTGAAAGGAAGAGTCGTGGCAGAAACGCCCTCCACTGTCAAGACAGCAGCAGGGTCCATATACCGAAAGAGTGACATTGCCAAAGTCAAGGTTGCTGTTCAAGACAAGGATAACAACAATAACAGACGTTCTCCAACAGGAGAAGAACCCAAGAAAAAGCTGCAAAAACAGTCAAAGCGGCAGTCTGATGAACAGGACGAGGCGGAGAATAGTGGATCTGACGAGGAATTACTGCTAGAGCAGCGAATCATAGATCCATCGGAGGCAAAACGAAAATTTCAAGGCAGCCCTACAGTGGTCACGTCAAAGGATACTATACAGGGCGGTGGCCTAAACTTAGCGGTTCGAAGAGCCAAGCCAAATTTGGCCGGTCCATTCTCTAGAACACCCAAGACGAAAGGGGGCACAAGCTCAAAAGATCCCCAACCAATCATTTCACCAAATAAAAGTGCTGCCACGGCAGCAGAAGCTCATGAATCTCAAGCGGAAATTCAAGCGGGTTCGTCAAGCCCAGGAGGCGTACAAAAATCGACTTCTACTCCGCATAGCAGTACGAGAAATAAGAAAAAAATATCACGCAATACATCTCCAGAAACAATTTTAGACACATTCAACAGTAAAGATCTATCGGCAGCTGATTGGAATCGTTTAGCTGACCAAGTGTTCGAAAGAGGAGTACAACGTACGGCGGCAGATATATTGCAATCTAAAGAAGATGGGGAAGATGAGGAAGAATCCAATAACCCTCCGGGGTTTTCGGACGAATCAGAAGTCGAAGAAACATCGGTTCGTAAAAGCGGAAGGTCCAAAAAGGGACCGACTAGATACGGGAATCCGATTAAACATTCGGTGAAGTCGATTTCTTACCATAATGATCTCTTAGACCTAAATCAGGCCGCACTTGAAGCATACCGAATTAAGTTAGCGAACTTCAAACCCGATGCGTCGAATTCGGTGGAAACAAAATTTGGTCTGCTAGAAAAACACCTTTTCAGGAGAAAGTTCGGCAGCGAGGCTCTCGACATCAATCGTTCCTGGAATGCCGAGTGGCGAATCCCATTACACTTTGAGGAAGAGCATGAAGAAAAAGATGGAAAATGATTCCAAACCAAAACCAACAGAGAAAAAAACTCTTTAAATTGAGTATTAAAACTCTTATTCATTATTATTAAAAATTTTAATAAAGTATTATAAAATTTTCTTGGCCGAGCGGGGTATGTGGTACCGCAACTGCTACTGCATTTGAAGTAACCATATAGTGGCCTTGGACATGCTGTTCATATTGTTATCTGTAAATTATATTATCCTATTATGTAAACCAAGGTCAATTACTACGTGACCTTTATTGCAAAAAATAGAGAGCTTTCTCTCAGATCTGTGACTCCGTACACAGTCGATCTCGGATAAAGAAATCCAAAATAAAACAATACGGTTTCAACTATTAAATTAATTCTGTGAAACCAAATCCGTTTTCATTAAAAACCTCAGATGTTCTGTTAGTTATCACAAGAACAAACTAGACCACTGTAATTTATTTTAAAATCAACAATCTTTTATGATGTACAGTTTTTATTTTTTGAGATAAATTGATTCAGTTGGAGTAAATTGGATCAAAGCATTACTGCTTTATCAGAGATTTTAAAAAAGTCAATTCCAGGTTGAACAACTAAAAAGTTGCTTTTTTCATTTTTTGAAATAAATGTTTGAACAAGCAGAGGGGACGGGAACATTAATGGTGATACTTAATGATGAAAAAAGAAAGCCGGTACGATAATGTTGTGTTGTACAGCAGCTTACCTGTCTTTGTTGTAGGGACTCCATCTTCATCTGAAATTCTTCCTTCTGGGCACTCAGTGCCTGCTCAACCTCTTTCATTTCACGCCTTCAAATATAAACGAATGTTTTTCTGTTTTACGTGTCAATAATAAAAATTTTCTGAAGGCGCCTTTGGCGTGAGTATATACTAATTTTGAGGGAAGAACGCACGCCAAAAAAAAACAATTTTTTGGTCAAAAACTTCAAAAATTTTGGTCGGAAAATTTAGCGCAGAAAATTTGGTCGAAATAGTGTCTTCATATTGATTTTTTTAAAACCCCCACCCCCTCGAGAAAATCGTAGATCAGCCCCTGTTCATAAACCATTAATTAACTATGAAAAAACTACCTTCATTTTCTTTAAAAAAAGGTTAAGGCAGAGGAATTTTTCTACAAACATTATAAGAAGTGAACTTTTTAGTGAATAGTCAACGCGGGAAAATTCGACTCCCACATTAAACTAGGTACCTCTTCTCAAGTAGTTTTGTGGCTGGAGTAAGATGGTCATCTTCCCTCTCAGGGATCTTAACCAGTAACCTCTCCTCGTAAGTGGTTCTGAAGTACTCTTCCAAACTGAACGGCATCTTCACAAAGAACAGTAATTACAAAAAATAAAAATTAAAACTGCAATTGTCTTTTAAAGTGGCTATTTCAACGAATTGTAGCTTAACAAGGTTTCTTTTTCAGATTTATAAACAGGTCTGCAGTAGAAAATCAAAACACATAGCATACGATTTTAAAAAAAAAACAATTTAATTGAACTGACACAAATGCACCTTTTGGTAGTGTACGTACTGGTAAATGATTTATATGTTTTAACGATAATGATGGTGCTGTTTCTGATGTGTTTTCTGTTATTCAAACGTGCGTGCGTTTTTATGCACTGACTATACGTTTCGAAAAAAACAACAAGCACACGGCTTCAAATTAAACCTATAGGCCGGAGTGAAAAAAATATATATCTGATTAAAAATGACTGAAACTGAAAAAGTATCAGAACTAGAAAATGAAGCGCAGTTTAACTGATATCATGTCATATGTCAATTAGCGTACCTGTATCGCGTGATTGAAGTGTGAAAAAAGCAGGTTGTGAAGCACACTCTTGTAACCCCCACCTATTGTTACTGAATAGCTGACGCTTATATCTGGTGATAAGAAAGACTAGAAAGATCCCATATTCGACATAATTACCTATGAATAAAACTATTGGGCGCTTTTTCTCCAGATTTCCCTTTCTTGGCAACTGCGAAATGTGTTTCTCGGATTGCAATTACCGTGTCTTTACTTTATCGCTTTCTTACTATGGCCCTCTAGCAATTAAAAGCTCCCCCATATACAAAACGGTTGCTCATCTACCTGCAACTTTCTCTTCTAATTTTTGTTCAGGTTTTTCAATTATCATGAAATATCAATTTTTGCATGAAAAAATTCTGATATTTACAAATAAAAAAATCCACGCACATTTTTTTCAAAAAGAGGAAAGAAAAAGTACTAGCTGGATATTTTCTTGTTTTTAGTTCATAGCAGATAACATAAACTTGAAATGGTCCAAAAAAAGTACAGCAGCACGAGAATGTATAAACAGGTGAGCAGAAAATCAAAGTCTCTTGAAATCTCGTTAATGCTAAAAGTCAAAATAGGGGTACGCGTGGCGAGTTCGACTTGACTGACTCCTTGGTGGCCGGCGTATTTCCGCCAACCTTAGGTACGAGAGCGCGCAGCGCACGAGTACAGTTTACTTTTAACGAGCTACCGCGAGTTTTTAAAGTTATGCACATAACTTTCAAATGCACAATAAGTTTCAAAATGACGATCTCGGAGAGCAATCGCTATTTTTCCTTGGGTATTTTCCATTGTGACTGGCTTTCTAAATTAAGAAAAATAGAAGCGCAATTTCTATTCATTTCTTATTGGGAGAAATCCCATTTCTTTCCGGAAAAAGTCGGGGAATTCAAAGGAAAACAGAACAAAATTAAAAAAATTTACAATGTTTTCAAGCACCTTCAAACCGTACCGTATATTTTTTGGTCCCACAAGCCGGATGACCAAGTTCGAATCCCGATTGAAAACAAAATTTTTTTTTTCAGATTTTCAGTTTGCTCAGCTCGCTTATTTTATAACAAGGAAACATTTCAAAATTGTTTTTTTTCCTCTGCTCACAAAGGTAGTTGGTTCAGTGTACCCGTCGCCCACCCTACAAATGAGTGATTAGGATTTAAACTCAATCCGAGGGAATACAACAGAGGAGTCACTTCGTGTCCCAGACAAGATAGTTCAGTTCTGTTACTCAAATCTGAAAGCAAGAGTTACTGAACGAATGCAAACAGCAAAATGCAAGTAACATGATTAGTCCTCGCGTCTTGACTAGGTTGTTCATTTAGAATAAATTGACTTTAGTATAAAGTGACCATTCGCTTTGTCTTCAAACCATTTTTTCATTACTGGTCAAACATCCAATACTTATCAGCAAACAAGTGAAAAAGGCTAAGATCCTTTACATCGGGACGGCAAACTTTAAGCCTAGATTCTTACTAATAGACTACTCAGCATAAAGTTGACTCCAAACTGCAAACGGTAAATTTGCACGCTGCAAAAATTTGAAGTAAGTTTTTTTCTGATTTTTTTTCTGAATTTGTTTCGGTCAATGGTTTCGATTCATCAACCGATTCAAAAAGCTTATCTAAAAGTCGTTTTTAGGTTTAGATCAAAAAATTGTTTATTCGGCTACTTTTGCGTAAAATTTTGATATTGAGCAAAATGTCTTGTAGGGTGTCTTTCTACCGGTTGTAAGTATTTTGAATTCGTTTGATCCAACCAAAAAAACTGGATACCAAAAAAACCAGTTGCTAGTATGCTTGCTCCAATCACAAACTCTGAACTAAAGTAACCTTAAAATGATCCAATGCGAACAGTTGAATTAACAGTAGGAGATTCTCGGTATGTAACTCCGACAATCTTTAAATTTGGATTTTTAATTGGTTATAAAAACCACAATTTGTAGCTAAAAACACAAGAAGCAAGCTCACAAATCGCAGGTAATTGTATAAAACAAAATTCTTTTGTCTATATGTCAGACTCAATCAAGTCTGAACCAAAGTAGAGAGAAAAAGCAGCTAAGAAAGGTCAAATCAGTTATAGACCATCGTGTTTACATCTAAAAGTTCCGGGTGTGGGGAAATTTGAACCCGAAGTTGAACTGCGCAAGAAATTTTATGCTGACATGCGCGAGAGACTAGTCACTTGGCCGCACGGTCATTAGTTAATAATTACTTTCACCTTTTCGTTTAATGCCTTTATACTTTCAACTTGAGCGTGACGTCATCCGCCCGCAAAGACTGAAAGGGACGAGCTTAAAGGTTGGTTGGGTAAGTCCGCTCGTAGCTGTCCGAATGATGTTGGAATGTGCGCATCCGTTTTTACCGTTAGCAAGCTTAACGAAGTGAGCGAGCGAGATTGTAATAAAGTCGCCCGCTATCATGTTCAATCACCCAAACCAGAACTCGCATTTTGAGAAATATGTCAGGTTTGGTGCTCCTTTTCGCTAGCTTGTTAAGTAAAGGGGGCAAATTATCGCAGACTACGAGACGAGATAGCGTCAACATACGACTGACTTTTACCATCTGTTTTTAATTCGAAGAAAATCCCATGAGAGAGCAAAAGAAGAATTGCGGCGTTTTCCTTAAGCAAAAAATGATTGGGGCTTACGCTTCTATATCCCGCGAAACAGTATCTTCTGGAGTGATTGGTCTTGATTTGAAAGCATGCACAGCGAATCAGAGTGTTTTCCAGACACTTTTTCTGTCACTCGCATGCTGCCTATTTAAACGGAGCAAACGTTTAATGCTATCGACGAGGCGCGCCCAATAACTGATATAATGCGGTGCACAGAATGGATTAAGTTATCAGTCTATACCTTCATGCGCAAGAATTTTGAACACATAGGGTACTTGATACAGGCAATTAGTTCTATTTCTACAAATACAAATTTGTTTCCGTTATCTAATCAGAAAGTGCTGGGTGTACCACGACACGAGATGAAACGTTCGAAGCGCATGACACATGAACTGTTGTCTTTTGATGACAGAACTTCGAGGTGAACAGACCCTTTGGTGAGTTAAATTAAAAAAATTTAAACCCATGTTTTAACTGCCTCTTCAAAAGGAACGTAATACGGTCCAAAAAGACCTAGCCTGTGAAAGAAAAATGTGGCTGTCCAAAGCTTTTTACATTTAAAGTATGCCAAAATCTGTCTAACTGTGATTGTTTTCCGCTTTTGACATGTAACACGATGGTTTTCAGTCTCCAACCCTTGATGCAAATTGTCAAGGTTGGACTTCCAAGCTAATAACCGAAAAAAGTGGGGTGAACTATCAAACGTGACGTCTGATGAAGCCAGTGGACTGATGGATACCAGCCGGACACAAGAACAATGAGTATGTGGCAAAACTGATGTTGCTCTTAATGGGTTTACCGGTGGTAAAAAAAATTTTCGACGGAAAATACGTTGACTTGAGCAAGATGTTTATGTTTCTTCTGCGAAATATGCAGCTCAATAGCATCCTTGATCTCGATTCTGTTGCCCCAAAATTGTGCATATGACGGCAGCAGTCTTAACATAAAAGCATGATTCGTTCATACCTTAAAAAGAACCGAGTTTTCCCGGTCAAATCCTGATCCAGAAGGTTGATTGAAACCGGCCTGTGAATCGGGCACTTATGTTCATCGATCCGCGCAAGTTTTGTGCGAGATTGTGATTCACGCATGTATATTCCGTTTGGATGGCTGATTCAGCAGCAGTTTGTGCGATTTTCTTCCCTTTTATTATAAAAAACACGCTCTTCTTCCCTTTTTTTATAGTTAAGTTGAAAACAGAGCTTGACTTATTCGTCCTATCTGGTTTTTCACTTACAGCATGTTGGGTCATCTTCTCTTTACAACCTATCAAACTTGGTCTCCTTTGGCTTTCCGATACGCTCCGCATCTAATTCCTCTAATTGAAATTCATTTCGTTGCTGTTTCTAACTTTAAAACAATTCTAGCTCACCTGGGAACTTCTTCTGACCGCATTTTATTTAAAACGCCGTTAAGTTGTTATCTCACTAGGGGTCATGAATTCCAGTACGGCTGTAAATTGATTGAAATGTTGGCAAGATTCTTTCCTTTTTTGTGCGTTAAAAATCTTAGAATATACTTTTGATATTTTAGACGCACTGCCTCCAGTTTGAGATGACGATTTAGACCGAATGTTGCCAGCTACTTCATCTGTCTGAATCTTCACTACCGTTTCAATTGCTACTGTAGTTTCTAAATTCAAAAAACACATCAGCCTCCTGTAAAAACTTGCTAATGGTCTACGCTAGTTTGTGGAGCCAAAGATGTTGTTTGGTTATGTATTTGTCAGGGTCTACGGCTTTTCCAAACAGTTGATTGATTTCCTCAGTTAATTCAACTGCTTGTTCCATTAAAAATTTAGATTTTGTGATTTTTTTCTCAATTTTTGACTGGCAAATTTGATTTTTTTTGAAATGTAATATAGTAAAAGAGCATGGAATTTGTCGACACTCAAAAATTACTTATTTATGTTTATTTCTGTTCAAAGTTATATATGAGTCTTTCGAAAAAATGGAACAATCATACGCCCTTGAACAATCATAAGCAAGCTCGAGAGAGGGATCGGTATACGAGCGGAAACGATGACTCGGTGATGAGGAATGGGACAACTTGCAAATTAGTTAGATTGGAGACAATAAAGATACTAGATATCAAGGAACTATGTCTGATGTGAT